ATCAAATTATTTATAGACTTTTTGACTTTGACACACAGTCATGAAGAGGGTCTACAGGTGCCCCCTCTATGATATCATTGCTGTTTTGTCATGATATTATACTGTTTCATGTTTTTTTTTCTGCGTGTTGTGTACACTACATTAATTTTATTGGTCGCATTACATTACTTGATTTTTTTTTTACAAAATATTTTCAAACATTAATAAGCATTGAAGCAGTTTTGTTTAAAATATTAACATTATTGCAAGAAACAATTATTCCAAATTATAAATAGGTTTTCTTTTAAAGAATTGCATTTATAAATTAACATTTAGAAAATGAAAAGCTTTTTTTCTCTATGGTAATATCAGGATGGTTGGTTAATTTTAGGCTTTATGTCACCCCAAAATTATCAAAAAGTATTGTAGTTCAGAAATTAAAATTATGCTCATCACAGAAGAGGTGTATTCAAAATATTGTATGTGGTTGCATTTTTTTTTATCAATTAATAAATCAGGACAAAAAATGAGCATCATGTCACTCTAGCAAGGAATGTAGTGTTGATATGGTGAGAATGCAGCAACATTTCATTCACATAAAAGGAAAGTTTTAATTAGCATGACTACAGAGAGTTTGTTCGTATGTTTCCCACCCTGCGAGACAATAGAGGGGCTTCCCACTCAGGGGCTCAAGCAAATCACGCTTAGCTTCACTCTGGGCTCGTCGACGCTCTGAGCCGCGTTTCTAGGTCATGAGAGTCTGTTATGAATAATAAAACGAGTCTGCTTTAAATGGAATATTTATAGAAGCGAAACAGCAAATGCTGCATCTCCTTCCTGTATTATTTTCTGTGATATAGTTTCTGTGACACTGACATTTGCGGTATTTAATATTTCCCCCATACTCTTTGAGTGTATTTTTTTCTTTTTACCCTTGTGTTAGCTGGGGGGATTGTGAGACAGACTGTAAATGGGGACCCAATGACTCAGGCTGGGGCCCCTGATGGGAACGATGATATTTGGTAGAGAGGAAATGGTACGGGGAGAGGTGATGAAAGAGGAACTAATGTTGGAGTAAAGGGGAATATTTGGTGAAGGCAAGGGTTGAGGATTCTGCCCTAGATTTTTAATTGTGGGACCACTCAGACAGAAAACAATTAGAGCGTAGTCAAGTAGTTCTATTTTGGTGCTGTAGGGTATATATTTTCCAGTGAACACGTGACACATTTTCAGCTCCTCTATAATCAACATAATAATTGCAGGATTCAAGTAATCACATGTGATGGATTGGATTCTTTCAACTCTTTCTGTACTGGATACACATAATGCATGATCTTGCACTGGGGGCCAGTGTTATTGTCCTTTCACCATTATTGTGTCTTTCAGACTCCTCCATATTCTGGGGCATCCATGATAAACCACAAACATATGCACAAACTAATATAAACGTAATAGGACCCAACATTATGTCCAGTAGAAGTCTCAAAAAGACCATATTCACTCATCCTGTATTTGAATGCACAATCTCAACTCATTAGTTCACTTTTATTAGTGGTGCTTTATGCTTTGGGTTTCCCCCAAGCAACCCTTTAGCAATGCTCTGGTAACCCTACAAATTTCCTTCTAAAAGTGTAAATATGGAGTATTTTTTGAAAATTCCAAACTTTCAGTCATCTTTGAAACCCAATTTAAGATCTTAAGATCTCTTCAGAAGACTTTCTGGATTAAAACGCTCAGTTCATATGGATTATTATTACAGTAGCATTATTTTTACTACTTATTCATTAACTTTTTGAAGCATCAAAGTATTGGTGGAATGCACTTTGTGGATGGACAGTAATCTCTCATTTGTGTTTCAAAAATAAATGAGGTTTTATGGGAGTTAATGATGACAGAATGCATTATTTGAGTGAACTATCGTTTTGCTTTAGTTTAGATGATGACAAAGGTTATCTAAATGTAAAAATAAGGCAAGTTATCATGCACAATACCATATCTAATATCATTATCAACCACCACCAATGAATTGATCAAATCTGTAACATGGTACCAATATATCTTACATCACTACTTTAAATACACATTTATTTAATTAAATTACATATTACATTATTTATCAAAATAACTTAACATAATGAGCATTGGATGCTGTATTTAGTTTTGGCCTGTCCCCCCTGACTGAGCCTGTTTTCCCCCAAGGTTTTTTCTCCATTTCTGTCACCGATTGAGTTTTGGTTCCTTGCCACTGTCGCCTTTGGCTTGCTTAGTTGGGGACGCTTAATTTCTGGCAATATTGTCGGTTTGATTGACCAGAAACTATTGGAAGAGATCTGAACTGTATGATGGCATCATCAATGAACTGACTTCATTTGACGTCATGAAGTGTCATTTACCTAAGCTGATTATGTTTAATTAAGGATTTGGGGAATGGAGATTAATTGACCATTGCACACTAACATTACTGTCATTATAACACACAGTCAGATCCAAATCAACCCGTTTGACCTTCTACCACACTGTTTCTCTGTTGAGATATTTGTTCATTTTGTTCTAGCACTATCAACATGTAACTTCATAATTCATATTTCAGATGAGCCGTACAGTAATTTTACCCTTGGCTGCAAATGTTGCACAGCTTTGAGATGTCTTGTTTTCTCTCAGCGCTCTAGATCATTTGCATATGATTGTTTGCATTATAATATGTGTCTCTTTGTAAGCCTGTCAGTATAAAGTCTGGAAGATAACTTGAGGGAAATGGAAGTCCTGTATTTTGGATTTGCAGCCCACTCCCTTGGCAGGACCTAACGTATCACAGTTTGGTGTTTAATTCATCCTTGTGCTTTGGACACGATTTTAGCCTTATGGGTGCTGAAAGTTCTACAGATTTACAGAACAAAATATCATAGAGACTAAATCAACCACCTAGCAACACATTTAGAACACCCTAGTAACCAAAATAGCAGTTTGCTTAAAAAACACTCAGAACACTTTAATAACCAAATAGCAGCACTCTGTTAGCCTTGCACAAGACTTTGGCATCACAACGGTGACTTTCACACTGGTAACACTTGTGGAAATAAATGAAGATGTATCATAGTTTCCATTTATAATAAATGGAGTTATTTCAGCTTAAGAGTATGTTAAGTTTAATGACCCAACTTTGTAGAACATCTTTATATTTAATTTTATAATTACTTCAGCTGCCTGGTTAATGTGTACTACAGAATGAACTGACAAGCATTTATGGTAAACTAAAAAATAGCTAATTTAATGTCACTTCTATTGGAACTTGGAATTTATGGGACAAGTGTAATTATTTAAAGCACAACAAAAGATTATTAAAACATAATGATTAAAGTAAAAGTTTTAATCTGACATTACTACAAAGTGCACTTTTTAAAAATGTACTTGCGTGTATTAGAAACATAGTCTTGAAAGTGTATCCCCTTTAAGTACACTTGAGATTTGACATACACTACAAGTGCACATGCTATACAATTAAGTTTACACAGTTTCTACTCCATAAAGTTCCTGTTTTAATTAGGCTTTGGGACAGTATATTCACAACACCGTACATCAGTTCATCTAAACAGTGAAACAATTTTCATCCATTTCCCATGCTTCATGTTGTAGCTTACGGCTGTAGAACTTCTGTTCTTCTCTTTGTTGTCTTTACTAGCGTAGCACCAAACTCCTATTCATTATTTCGTAGTGATGGGGAATGAGATAAGCTGTGCACTACAGTATGTTAATGATTACCTCCGATATTTAAAGAATGAAACATCAAAGCCTTGGCATGTTGGAAACGCTAGGGTGTATTTTATCTGAGCATACACAATTCATTATTATCTCTAGATATCGGTTTGGAATGCACAGTTGTTACCAGAATCCTTCTTGTTTTGCAGGTAAGCGTGAGACAAGATGAAAATTCAGTAGTTTCACTTTTATTAGAAGCATAACAAGTACTACTAGTGCTCCATATTTTATCCTCCTACACAGAGCTCTCAGATGACAGTCAGAGGATAATGCCATTTTTTCCTCCGAGCTAACAGCACCCTTGACCCAAACTGCACTGCTTTGGCCCTCTGGATAGAATGCATTCCAGTCTGTCAGTACCGTGGAGATGAGATTTATAAAGAGGTTGTGCATGGGACTGACCTGGAAATAAAAACTTTTTCATTAGTTCGTTTTATTGTGTTTTATGTACTTGCTTTGAACAAACCCCTAACCCTATAAGTATTAAACCGGGGCATGTAACTTGTCCCACAGCAATTGCGCTGCGGTCATGAATGATGCCTCAAATCAAGCGACTTGTTGAGGAGAGTTGTGCTTTTACTTTTCTAAATGGCTAGACGTATGATTTTCCCTATGAGAATATTAGGGATGCACAAATAATTAATGTCCCATTATATTTTACATATGATTTCAATGTGCAATTCTATCTATCTATCCATCTATCATCTATCTATCTGTCTGTCTGTCTGTCATCTATCTATCTATTCATTAGTTCGTTTTATTGTGTTTTATGTACTTGCTTTGAACAAACCCCTAACCCTATAAGTATTAAACCGGGGCATGTAACTTGTCCCACAGCAATTGCGCTGCGGTCATGAATGATGCCTCAAATCAAGCGACTTGTTGAGGAGAGTTGTGCTTTTACTTTTCTAAATGGCTAGACGTATGATTTTCCCTATGAGAATATTAGGGATGCACAAATAATTAATGTCCCATTATATTTTACATATGATTTCAATGTGCAATTCTATCTATCTATCCATCTATCATCTATCTATCTGTCTGTCTGTCTGTCATCTATCTATCTATCTATCTATCTATCTATCTATCTGTCTATCTGTCTGTCTGTCTGTCTGTGTCTAATATTGTCCTAATCTAATTCTAATATTGGCCAGTATCCAATATAGTTTTAATATATTGTGAAATTGTATTGATTTATTTTTGTTGTTGTTGATTTCTTTGAATATTTGCTTTACTAAAATTCTTCTTCTTTTTCTGTTCTGCAGGGCCTTATACTCGTATGAAGATGACAGTAACGATTTGATCCTGTCTGCTTCAGGAGGTAGGCTACATCTCAACAATACTTCCTGTCCAAATATAGACTATCTAATAATAACCAACCAGAATGTAGTCATGCACAAGCAATAACGCTGTCGGCTGTGACTGATGACATTCCATTTGCATTGTTGATGTACCATGATTGTGCTAGTGAATGCCACTGTGCGATTGTATCGTGACAGAGGCCAAACGCATTAAATGTGATATTAACTCTGCTAGTGTTGTGCACAGATAAATGTCTTTATTCATTTGCAGCATATCTACTGTAAATATTCATAAAACTCAATGGACTGTAATCCTGCCATCTAAGCACAGATCCCAAACACCGGAAGTAACCGTCACTCAGCAGTTCAAATCTCACTGCATTTTCAAACTATTATAGTGCATCAGGCTGCACAGTCTCTGTTTTCCCTCAGAGCTGGAGGAGGGAAACCTGTCATTTCACACTGATGACAATCATTTAGTCTGTGACTGATGGAAGGTTATTATTAAGGGCCGTGTTGATTAGCACAGAGAACACCATTCAGATGTTGGATTTATTGTGGAAAGTCTGTTTGCAAGAGATTTCCCGCAATGTTTATTTACAGTGTATAGTTTGACTTTTTTTGTTTCTGAAGTATTTGTATCTAAAACCATAATTTTGCTGCAGTTTTCAGAAACAATATTATATCTTAGCGATGTAAAAAAAAAAAAACTGTAAACAGCACAATATGAGAATGATGCCATGCAGAGCAGGGACATCCATGCATTCTCGCTATTCATGCAAACTTATGAGATATTTAAATGACAACATAAAAAATGAAAAAAAATATAGCTCAGATTTCAAAGCAGAAATTATCCAATTTATCCAAGTGCAATTTCAAATTATCCGTTTAAATGACCAAGAGTGGTATTTCATTTAGATCAGTTTAGTATACACAGAGTTAGGGAAAATTGCATATTGAAATCATACACATGGAATTACATTTTTTATGTGGGCAGTAAGTAGTGGACTTATGTGTCTGCTGCTTTGTGTAACATCCTCTTTCCGGAACAGGAAAGAACTTCCACCAGACTGTTGGTGTGTGTGTATGTCTATCCAAACCCTCTCCAGAGATCTATTTCTGTCCATTGGCACATTTACACCTCTCATGAGAAGCAGTAACCGATCATAGTTATGGGCATAATGGGTAGCCAGCACACGTGGTGATTAAATAGGAAGCATTTGCAGTAGATTAGGGATTAGAATTGTATTCTTTTTTTAAGAATTATTTTGTGTAAACATTTATTATTATTATTATTTTATAAAATAAATTATATTTATATTATATTATTCATAAGTTAACACAATTACCAGTGTATATATATATATGTACAGTGCCTAAAATTAACACTCGCCAAGCCCCAATTGCGAGTAAAAATCAGCGTTGGCGAGTCCATGTAACAGTGTCAGTCGCCAGTTAGCGGGTACAACTTTTACGAATTATAACAATGCAATCTAGTGGGAACAACAGCCCGTTTTTAAAGAGATTCGCTGTTTCTGACATAAGCGAATAAAATAATCTTTTCCGAAGACAAGATCATCGTGATTAGCTGTTCTGTCATAAGTGACAAGAGCGAATCAAATAATAGGATACAAACAGACTGATAAGGTCAGAGCAGTGTGATGGCCAGCTTGTTGTATATATATATATATATATATATATATATATACATTTTTTTTTTCCTCTTTCTCAAAAAATCTGTTTTAAGTTGTTATATTACCTGTTTTAGTAATGTATATATAAACTAGTAAATATTACTATAATGTATTTAGAGAATATCTTCAATTAAATACATACCTTTTTTCTTATTCCAGTGGTATTTTAGTAGTGAGTGCTAAAAAAAATGGATCTAACAACTATCTTAAAAAGACAGGAAATAATTTTCTGATGACCCCCACACATAAGCCCCCACAATCCTGAATTAGTAGTTATGAAATGACTTGATTAGATGTACTTTTTTTTTGCAATTAGTACACAAAAAATTGACTTTTCTTTCTTAACAGTGTGATTGTTGTGTTTGACAGATGGGGGTCTGACAGAGATTGCAGTAGCCTTCGATAACACTCTGATCATGTACGGTTTCTGCAGCCTGAAGGAGCCCAGCGCAGCCCTGCCACGCTACATCCTCATCAACTGGGTGAGATGACGCAACAACCTGCGTTCAGTGAATTTTGAAACCCGTTAGCAAGAACACTAGCTCTAGAGGTCAACAAAGACACAGCAGTCAACATAACCACAGTCAATCAACATCGGCGCTGCCCTGAAATCAGACATGCGTTCTTTTATCATACAAAAGCAGGAAATAATTTTGTGATGGTGGTCGGAGCAAGACCCCACGTCAGGCCCCCACAATCCTGAATTAGTAGTTATGAAATTGCTATTTTGCTAAAAATCCAAGATTAGATTAGAAGACACGTTCTGTTAACTTGTGGTTAGGCTGATATGGGTCAGTATAACAGTTAGTGGCTTGAAGGCGTTTAGATTTTTTAAACATGAGTTGTATGGCAAACATTATGGCTGAATCACTGGATAATATTGCTTAGAATAGATCAAATATAAGAACGAGCCTCCAGGCATGATTTTAGTTCTATTTAGATCATCCATTTTTAAGTTGCCGCCAGTATTTTGAACTGTAAAACGCGAAGTACTGGCTGTTGGACACAACTCATGAAAGACACTCTTAGATGCTTTCATTATTTTCCTATTTTCATTTAATTACAAGCATGTTTTGTACTTTGTATTCTTAGTACTCGTCCCTTTATGTCACAGCAGTTATTTTAAATTGTGTGAGCTTGATTATTTTGAATGGGTGCTGATCAGAGACGTCTGCCTGTTGTTTAGTTGAATTATTAAAGTGGCAGTATCTCTTAAATGTATTGTTACCTTGGAAACGCATGCCATGGTTGCAGTGGAACACAATATTCACTTCAATGTAAGGTTTAAGGATGTGATTATCAGGTTTTTGTTTTCTGAAGCAGTGGTTGTAACTACCTGGGGGAGCAATCTGAGACTATTATATATTGCCAGTACTCCAAAGTGTGCTAGACATTTTTTTTATGTATACTCTACAGTTGTGTTCTTTGAATAAACACATATATGACAACATGTGTTCAGGTTGGTGAAGATGTGCCTGATGCCAGGAAGTGTGCCTGTGCCAGTCATGTAGCCGCCATAGCGGAGTTTTTCCAGGTGGGTCTCACCAAGGTAAAACAAACATCTTTTACTTCTCTTCTAAATTAGGTAATGACCCATTTCAGAGACATGTGATTCCACTGTCACTGTCATTTTCACATCATCTCTGCTCTGAGCATGCGAGGAGAGCTAGCTGTTAGGTTTCGCAGTCATCTTTTGTGACATTTTCTTTGAAAACTGTCTGGAAAAAAAGGAAATGTCATTCATCCAAAACTATTTTCTTTGTTAGTGTTGGGATGAATCTCACAAAACCTGGTCCAGAGCAGGTTGAGATCACCACAAAATCAAATGAAAGAAATGAGAATTTATACTTTGGAGATAATTAAAGAAGATTATTTTGTACTATCCTTTTTTTTTTTTTTTTTAATTGTGATTCATTGTGACATTATTTTGGTGACAATTAAGCATGTTGTCCCCCCAATTCTCATTACTATAATGCACAAAAAATTAACTATGATTAGAAATTAGCAAAAATGACTTTTTTTATCAAGTTTTTTGACATACCCTGTCTTTAATTTATGCATATTTTTATTTAAATAATTATATTAATTTTTTAGATTATTTCCATTAGTTTGTTATAGCATTGAGAATCCAATGAGAATTCTGAAAATTACACAAAAAAAAAATCTTAATTCACTACAATGAGAATTGTTGGGGAAATATGGAAAATTGTCATAAAATAAATTACATTTTTAATTGAATTATAAAATGTAATTTAATTTAATTATTTATAGAAATTTTATTTTATTTTTCCAGTGAAATATTAATTAGAAAACAATACAAAAATAAAATTTAAAATGTTTTCACATTTTTACTAAATAAACACATGTACAATTATATTGAATAATTTTATTTTTTATATTTGTTCATTTTAATTTAAAGTATGCGCTTATTTTTTTTTATCTTTGAAATACCTTAATAAGAAAACAGTACAAAATCAAAGTAAAAAATAACCTAGACATGTTTTTCACAAAATAAACAAGAAAAAAAATTTAAATCATTTTTATTATTATTCTTTTTATTTACAGTATATGCATTACAAATCCATTTTTTATTTCGTTTTTACTCAGTGAAAAAAATAAATAATACAAATTTTGTGGACTTGGACCTGTTTTTGTGAAATTCACCCATTGAAACATAATTGGTGTTTTTCAGAAGTTGATTTTAAGTGTCAATTTCAAACATTGACTCATAATGCATGAATTCTAACATAATGTTTTAGTGCTTTTCAATACCACCATCTCCTCTGTTGTTGTTTCGGCTTACTGTATGGCTTTCTTTAACAGCATGCCTCTTTAGCTCTGCTGCAATTCAGTCCTGTGTTCCAGCAGATAAGAGTAAATCCCAAGTCATGTGGGTGGGCCACAGAGTCTTGGGGGGGGTTTGCTGCATGTGTGTGTGCTTCTGTGTGTATGTACCTAACAGTTAGTAATGTGCAGCAGAAGATGTTTCTAGATGACTAACACGGTCCTCTTCGGGGCCATTGTGTTGGAGGTGTCTGTCGGTGTGAGAGATCTGAATGGGGGGCTGCTCGGCTTTTCAAATCTCTCAATCTCTTCAACGTGGGTGCGTGGGCGAGAAAAGGAGAGAGAGAGAATAGAAGTATTGAGGTAGAGAAACTCCACGATGAAACATCAGCGAGATGACCAAGGCAGCCACAGAGATTGTGCTTTTGGGTTGAAAGAGAGACTATGCTATCAGGAATGAATTGATCTAAAGTGCCAGTCAACTCATCGGCTGCTCTTTTTAAGCTACTGAAAAGACTGATGGCAGCATTCATGTAGCTATGTCAGAGGAACACACATGAGCTAGATATAGTCGGTTGTTTGATGTTCTTACAAAAGCTTAGTTCGAGGTCCAGCTCAGTATGCTGTGATGCTCACACAAACACTCTTACAAGCACATTGAAGACCCGTTTTGTCTTGCTTGAAAAGCCTAATTGCATTTACTTCTCATGTGAATGAATTTTGTTTTTCTCATTGTTTATACTGATTCATAGTTATCCCTTCATATGTTATTCACTGTTATTCTGAACTCATTCTTTCATTAATGTGATTGATGATTTAATAATGTACACTACTGTTCAAAAGTTTGGGGTTATTGAGATTTTAATTTTTTTAAAGAAATTAATACTTTTATTCAGCAAGGGTGCATTAAATTGATCAAAAATGACAGTAAAGACATTGATGATGTTACAAAAGATTGCCATTTCAAACAAACTTTCTATCCATCAAAGAATCCTGAAAAATGTGTATCACGATTTCACAAAAATATTAAGCACCACAGCCGTGATATCTTTCTTGAGCACCAGATTATCATATTAGAATGATTTCTGAAGAATCATGTGACAATGAAGACTAGAGTAATGGCTGGTGAACGCAGCTTTCCCATCACTGGAATAACCTACATTTTAAAATATATTAAAATAGAATACAGTTATTTTGAATTGTAATAATAATATTTCTCAATATTACTGTTTTTACTGATAAATAAATATATGCAGCCTTGTTGAGAGTTCTTTCAGAAACATTACCAATCTTACAGAACACAAACTTTTGATGTAAAGTGTAGATTGTGTTACAGTGCCACCTATTGATGTTTACTTTATTATCTACATTAATAATTAGCAGTTCTCAAATTAGGGCAGGGCATTATAGCTTGAAATTATATCTCAGTGTTTTTTAGCCTATATATAGATAGTGATAAATGACTGAAAAGATTGTTTTAAGTGTTTGTGTTGTTGTTGTTGTTTTTAAATAATAATTTTTAAACATTTCCACACTGTTTTTCACTAAATAGAAGAGCATTTAACATAGAATAATATCTGATCATATGTTTATTTTTATGCATTGATATAACAATTCTGTAGTCATACTGTAAACAGAAATATTTACCTGCGTTTATGATTTTACTAAAACATTTTAATTAATAGAAAATGCCATAATTGGACAATTATTGCTGTTTTTAACCGTTTACAGAAATTAATCGGATTTAACAACTCCAAAAACACTCAAATTAATCTCTGAATACGAATTTTCGAACCGGTCCCTTTAAACAGACCGTTAGAACCAATTCACAGAAATGAATCAAACTTAACCAGCGCTACACGATTTTTGGTACTGAACTTGAATTCAGAAACACTTTTTAAACACATCCACCTTCTCGTACTCGCAAGTCATGGGACAAGGAAGAATCCGAAAATGTCTTTAGGAAACTTGTCAAGTAGAGTTTGTCCATGCTTAGCACCACTGATGCCTTTTGGTGTAGCCTGATGCTTTTGTGACTTTCTTCTTTTTTCTGACACACTTGGGACAAGCTGTATGCCATAGCGACTTAAAGTGCTCATCATTTAAATGCACGGTTGATGCTGGTTGCCAGGTGACGTGCGTGCGTGTGCAGCAGTACTACTGATGCTCTTTTTCTCTTTCCAGGGTGTTGACATCATCGTGAACGCTAGCACCATGGATGACATCGACCCCTCAGCTATCGGACAGAGGCTGACCAATGGGACGGCTCCAGTGGCCAGTCCAGTGCTAAGCCGCCTGCGAATGAAAGACGAGGAGAACGCAGAGCACGTTGTGCGTGACTGGTGACAGAAGGGCTGCTTAAGGGATGGGTGGGGGGCTTGTTTACGTGCATAGGGTTAGTTTTAATACTGGAAAGGGGTCAAATCAAGTTGTCTGTGAATGGCTCTCTAATAGTGTGATGTCTGACACAGGGGCACAGCCTCGTTGCTGTTTTTAGGAAAGAGCTCTTAGAGCCACATTGTTGATCCAGAGGAACTGAAACTATGATTGTTTCTATATGTGAAACACACTTAAAAAATAACCAAGCTCCTTCCTGCTGTTTTGCTCACTTATCTGAATGACGTCTCTACAAGTATATTTGTATACTTCATTGTAACCAATATAATTTGGTATTAGTGTATCAAACCGTAGCATTTCAGCCAAACAAATTCAAGCACAAAGTGATGTTGGTGTGATCTAATCTCAAAACCAGGTTGTACATCTTTGATACACCTGTAACAATATTTTACAATAAGGTCCTGTTCATTAGCATTAGTTAATGCATTAGCTAACAATGAACATTATATTTTTTACAACATTTAATAATCTTTGTTAATGTTAGCTAATAAAAATACAATTCATGTAAGTTCACACTGAATTAACCAATATTAATAGATAAACATTTTTATTTGAAAAATTTAGTAAATTAACAGTAACTACGATTAATAAATGCTGATTACAGTTAAACTAACAAATGATTAACACAGTATTGTTCATTATTTGGTAATTTTTTCTAGTGTAGTTAACTAATGTTAATAAAAGATATAAAAACGATATAAAATGTTTCCTAGACAGGGAAATTGTCTGTGTGTGTGTGTGTCTGCTTTCTAGCTGTCCCCATAGTGCCTCCCTTGGATCAACATCTTTGTCCTCAGTTAGCTGTCCAATTAAAACGGCCAGTACTCACACTTCCCCTTTCCTCCTGACCGCAGGGCACCACCTACGAGAAAACAAATGCAGAGATCGAGATGAAGAAAATCAATCGGGGAGAGTTCTGGGAACAAGCCAAGGTAGAAATTTGATTCCGTTGGGTTTCTGCTGCAAAGATGCTTGATCTGAGACTCTTCAGGATGGTAGTGTGAACCGCTGTAAACTAGTTCTAGCACACAATGTGACGGGTCAGCTGACTAGTTTCTTTGTTTTAACATTATGAGGAAGTGGTTACGTCAGATTTGTTTGATACTGTTCGATCATTAGCAGCTGAGAATACTTTCTCATAGATAAATGACATTTTACTAACTGTGTACAAAGGTGTTTTGTTGTGTTTTATTTTGTTTTTATTAAACTATGGGCACTTTTGTCTCTGAAGTTTTATTAAAACTTTCTTGGGGGGTCTTGGAAACTTTTTACCATACCTATACTACTACATTCTTTTTTTATGTATAGATTTCAGTCCTAATTAGTGAAAATCTATTATAAAAATATTGCTCTGTTTGGAAGCTTTGATCATCTAAGCAGTAAAATAAAGGTAATATTTATTGAGTGAAAAATATCTATATTGATTTTTACAAAAATTATGGCTGTTATTTTCACCACTAACAACAATTTTGCCCGATAATATTTTATAATAGATTAGTGTACTTGTTTCCTAAGGTGTCAGTGTAGATCAGTTTGAGACATATGTGAAAAAAATGTATGTAAATATCACAACAGAATATTTGCTTTGCATCATTTTAGAACCATACTGTAGTTTTGCAATATTAATCACATATATGAATACTTACTAATAAACTTTAAATATTATTTATTAACAACATTAATAATTCAAATTGTTGTTGTTATTGTTGATTAACAGTAAGAAATTGTTATTTGACTGTGTGCATTTAGGTTACATAACGTGCTAGCTGTTAGCCTTAGCATCCATAAATGTTTACAATGTTATTTTCACTTCAAAATTGTATTAAACTAAATAGATTAGTTAAAGGTGTGTTAAAAATGGCTGGTTCATAAAAATGGTAGAATTCTTCTAGTTGAAGAAACATTCTGCAGATTGCTGTAGAAAAATGGAGGCTTGTATCTCTTACATACATTTACTGTTTTTTTTTTGTTTTAGTTTTTTGTTTTTTTTGCACAAAATAAGAGTATTGCGATCTACAATGTTTAGATCTGTTTTTATCCACTAAAATTTAAAACCAAATACATAAAATATAAATGAAATAAGGAAAAATAATAAGTATAAATGTCGTTGTCGTAATCTTATTGTGACTGTAAATTCATTTTACTGAAGTTTTACTGACACGTGCCTTGTTTAAAGCGGGAAGAAGAGTTGAGAAAGGAGGAAGAGAGAAGGAAGGCTGTGGAGGAACAGAAGCGCTTTGAAACCGAGAGGATGGAGCTGGAAAGAAAAGAGCAAGAGGAAAGAGAGAAGCGCTACCGTGAGAGGGAGCAGAAGATCGAGGAACAGAGGTAGGAAGGATGCCACAATGGCCAACACTGATGACCCTCAGCCATATATTATTATAATGCTATCTGTTTTTATATACGTGGTCACAGGAAGAAGATGCAGGAGGAGGAAGAGGCCAAAGAGAGGAATCAACCCTTGAATGTAAGAGTGTGTATGCTTTGCATACAGTAAACCAGGTTTGGTGTTTTAAGAGATATTTTAGGGCTTGAATCATCTACAGAATGCATGATGGTCTATGGTAACCGGAAGGTAACCAGAAGAAGAAGAAGACCCATGTGTCTTAAGTAATATTGTCCTTTAATAAATGGATAAATGGCTTTGGGCAGTATACAGACTTCAGAAGTATTTACACAAAATCAGATTTATTGCACTAATCATCTGGAAAGTAAATAAGTTACAAACAACTGCATGTGGAGTGACCCACATTTAACTGTTATTAAAGGGGTCATATGATGCTATTTTAAAGAGGTTAAGACAGCTGACGTGCTATGATTTCTGACAGGCAGTTCACTCTCCTGTGATGTGACCCTGTTCCCCTCACACACACAACGCGTTACTCTGCGCTGCGCAAAACTCTGCATTTGAACAGTCTAGCAAATACTTAAACTAATAACAAAACATAACAGATCTTCTTTATGCACCAAGAGCTTGTAACACTCCAAAGAGAAAGGAAAACTTGAAATCGCATCATATGACCCCTTTAAAAAAATTTAAAAAGTTTTTGCTGCCCCCTGCTGGAAATAAACAGGTGCGTTCATCCACTTCACAGACAGATCCCAGTTATGAAGACCCTGCCCTGGAGAAAAGAGAAACAGAGGTTGAGGTGGGTTGAAACAGAGCTTTTAGGGCCACACCAGCATCGATTCGTTTCACAGATAAGTGTTTTCAAAAGGAGAACAGATTCCGACCCTAACAAATTAAAATGTGGGGCAGATTTGTGTTATAAAGACAGATACTCTGCTGGGGTTTACATGTGGGTCAGTGGGATTCCTCATGCTATTTCAAGAGTTTCTGTGTTTCGGTGCGTGTGCAGTCAATAGGATCTTCAGTCTGAGAAGGAACCAAAAAAAAAATCCTTCTTACCTGCAATTATTTTTATTTGTCACATCATGTATTACTGGTTTAAATTCATGATTCCATCTAAAATATCACTCTAAACATGCAGTGTTGTACAAATATATCCAAATAGGAAATTAATAGAAAATTGTTTTATTATAATTAGTTATTAATGGACAATTATTTGTTTAGCTATTGTTATAATAATAATAATTATATATTATATATATATCGTATTATGTGTTTTATAATTATGTGTTCAATTAAATTATCTAAATTTATTTTATAAACTGGAATTTGTTTCACCTCCTTTTCCTGTGTTCATACAGTATGTTGACAGGATGTGGCAACTTTCATACCCAGGAAAATGATTAAATTCCATCTAAATGTGTAGTGTGCTAAGAATACATCCAAAGAGAAAATTAATGAAAAAAAATATTTTGCTATCTTATAAGATATTAATAATAATATACATATAAATATTATTTTGTCTATTTTATCTAATTCTATTTATATATCTATCTATCTATCTAGGCCTATATCTATCTACTATATATTATGTTTTACCTTGTTTTCCCGTGTTAATATGTTTATAGGAAGCGGCAGCCATCATTGCCCAAAGGCCCATTAACCCACGGGAATTCTTCAAGCAGAGAGAGAGGGCCATAGCCAACAGCGTGGACATCTCACCAGTCACCACGCACAGGACCGGTAAGATCATAGTAAAAGGGTGGAGAAGAGGAGGAGGAGGGCGTAGATGCTAAATCCTAAGCCTGTGTTTATCCTCTTCTTGCTTTTCACTTGTCTCTCCTACTGTCATTTAATGTGAATAAAACAACACAGCTCAGGAGAGACCCTTTGTCTCAGAATGTACTGAAATATGTAATATAATAATGTTAGGGTCATAGTTGAATTATGTAGATAGATATACTTTTATGCATTAATATAGAGAACAGAGGTTAAAGAGGATCTAAACTTCATATACTCCCAACAATTATTGTAAGCCACAGTTATAAATGTGAGAATGTTTTAAATCGTATAACAAAATATCAAACAAGGTGTATATTTGAATTTTTTAAATGTATTTAAAATGTAAATATGCAACCTACAGAGAATAACCAGTTTGAATAATGGATTGATGGATATACAGTATATATATATAGATAGATAGATAGATAGATAATTCAAATGTTATAATAACATGCTCATAGTTAATTTGATGAACTAAGATGCCACATTGTGGCCAGAATCTAAGCTAAACCAGTTTGACTAGGCTGGAAGACCAGTTAAACCAACAAAATCAGCTTAAACCACCTCCGGCTGGTCATTTTGATTAAAACAAATAGTACAATCTAAATAATAATAATAATTAAAAACCTAACATTTCTGTGTACTAATGTATTGTGCTTAGCATAGCTTAGCAACATGCTAACAACATGCAAACTATTGGAATCAATTTGTTAATTGTGCTTTGCTAAGTCATACAGCTTGCTGATTGATGTTATTTCTTACTAAAGTGACTAGTTGAGAAGATAATATTTTGGTATAAATAGCCTAGTTTTTTCACATAAGGTTCAAATGTACCAACTGGAAGTTGAGTAAATCCATGATTTCAATACCTGCTGAAAAAAACACACCGGCTGGAAATTCCAAACGAGGACTGCTATTTGACCATCTTAAACCAGCAATCCACCTTAGGATAGTTTATGTAGGGATTTTTTCAGCAGGGATGCTGAAGCGAAGATTACTTTATTGTAAAAAATGTTATATTGGTGCCATTTTCCAACAGACTGTATGGTCCTGCTGAACAATGCAATATTATTACTGGATGATTGTGCCATTTCATTGTTTATTTAAGATCATAGAATTTTCAGTGTTGGAGTGAATGTCAAACTCCTCACTAGCATCTGTTGCTGAAGGGTACAGACACTGAAACAACTACTGCTTTATGCTCAGAGGGTGTGAAACCATCACACTAACAACTGTTTTCTTACCTCTCTCCTTCTACCTCACTATTTTCTCTCCATTTCTTGGTCATTTTTTTTTTCTTCTGATCACTCTATCCTTTTGGTTGTCAACACATCTCTTTGATTTCCTTTTCGATCATCTGTCCATTCCATCTATCCTTCTGATGACCCTGGATCTTATTTAACCTCTACCCAACTGCCGCACATCCATCATTGCTTCTGTTTTGAACTCGTGCTTCTCTATTTCTCTAATCATTTCTCTTTTATACAAATTTCTTCCCCTCTCTATCCCTGGATTTCTTTCCTCCTGTCTATCTGGTCTGGTCTTCCTCTGTCACACCCGTGTACGTCGCTATATGTGTGCGTGGGTGTCCGCGTGTCCCGCACGATGGTCCTGTCTTCCGTTTACCAGGCCGCTTGGACAGTCCATTCTTGAGGCAGCAGCACAGTCCATCCGATTGCAGCCCGCCCCCTTCTCGCACTCCGCCCCATTCACGGCGGCAGCCAGGTCCACCTGGTAGGTACTGGACAGATCTTGCTGAGGGATACTGCATCAGCATAGGATCACGAAGTCACCGTCTAGCCTTTAGCCACCCTCCTCACTGAATTATCGTTTTTCTTTTGGCTTCCTCAGCAACACTGCGCTTCTCAGAGCATTCACTGTGTCTGCACTGCACCGGATACACCCTGGTCTCCCAGTGTCAGTATGTGCTAGTATTAAAGGGATGGTTCACCCTGAAATTAAGAAAATGTCACCATTTGCTCACCCTCATGTCACTCCAAACCTGTATGACTTCGTTTCTTCTGTGGAACACTAATGGAGCTATTTGGCGGAATGTCCAAGCTGCTCTTTTCCCTAAATGAAAGTGCCTGTGATGCACCCTAATAGACAAAAAGAAACATGGGATTAGATCGTTTATCACAATCTGTAATCATAAACACATTTCATTACACCAAATACACAAAATAATGTTCTTTTTAGCAGCATCATATGACCCCTTTAATATTTGAAAAACTGTCCGACAAATTACTACTGTGACCAACAAAATCATGTAGTACAACCAACATGCAGAAACATTTAGGGGGGAAAAAAACATAAAACATGAAATATCATCATAGAGAGGACCCCTAAATACTATTCTATACTAAGTTATGACATTTTGATAAAACATTACGAGGTCAAAAAAGATCTATAACATGCATTTACACAATAATCACTTCATTCCTACTTTAAATTCATTTTTTTTATTTGTACAAAACGGTATAAAAATTTGTCAAAAGCATACGAAACCAACATGAATACAACATGATTTCAAAAAATGTATCTTTCCTATACTGCATCGCATTGACTCATCTCCTTTTGTGTTCCACGGAAAAAATAAAGTCTTCTGATTCTGGAATGACATGAGGGTGAGTAAATAATGACAGAATTTCATTTTTCTGTGAATTAATACATTTGAAGGACAGCTGTATTAACTGAAAATCATCCCACTCTGGAGCGGGTTTAGAGCGTCCTGATAAAGACAGAACCACTTTTTACGACAAGTGTATGTGATGACGTGCTCAACTCTTACAGGATGAACTGTATGTCTAATCTCAAGTAACCATCTCCCCTTCTGTATGTCCCATGATCTCAAGTAACCTTCAGTACTAGCTAACTAGACTACGGCCTGCTCAGTGTCACAGTCCGTTTCTTTCAACTATTTGAACCATATTGCCATCTTTTCTTGGTCCATAGTCTGTATATGTGTCCTATACTTGTTGTCCGTTGACTTTGTATTTTGCACAGGAAACATTGAGTATGTGTTATTTTGAAGCTATGCCGTGGATGTTTGGAGGACTGAGACAAAGTGATTCTTTTGGTTAGGGAGATCTGGTTGAATCTCACCAATGTTACTCCCCTCATGTCCCCCTTCCTCTCCTCCCATGCTCTTTCTGATGGATAACCGGCGGCCCTGCGTGCACTTCCTTCCATCCTGTTGACCTGTGAGTGTATGCCACGTTGCACCGCATGTGATTGTGGTCTCCGAGTCCTTGGGCTTGCATTCCGTAGACCTTGTGTGACTATGGTGTCGTGCGTGATCTTTGTGGAGCTGACCTTGTGGTGTGTTTGAAAGTAAAATTAAACAGCAACCCAAGGACAAATGGCGCCTGCAATTATCAGTGTGTGCTACGAGGACTAAACATTGGGTCTGTGCTAAGACCCAACATCTAAAGTTTATCTAGAGTGATACAGTGGGTTTTACATTTCAGAAATGGGCGAATTTTGTGCCTGTACAACTGTTTTCCTGAAATCAGCTTTTATGATGGTCATTGTCGTTTCATTGATTGTGTTTGTTTTGTCATGTGAGGTCTTCTCTCAGCTGTATCATTTTAAAGTGGCTATCTACAAAATTTGCATCTCAGTGTTTTTGTTGCGTTATGAGTTAGTGACTTCCAGTGGAAAACGTCATAGCTCAGAGGTTGCTCTTTCAGAGCTCAGGAGACTTAATTGGGTTTTAAGAATGTTTCGTCTTAAGCAAATTTGTCTCAGATGTTTCTCCTGAAATTCCTAAAATAGAATTAAATGAGATGATGCTTGACATACAATAAGAATTAGCTCAGATTTGGTTTTGAATTAATTTGATAACTTTTGATTGCATACTTCTTAATCTCTGCAAACCTGAGCATGATTTGTGATTAGTTCTGAGAATATGTTATATGAATATGTATATTTTTGAGATTGTAAAAATTAAATTTGCTCTCTGTTAAATATTATTGTCCAGGAGAAACAATTGAGATGTTAAAGAGATCTTAATTGTGGTTGTTCTTTCCAGTGGGTTGGTGTGTCATTATTTAGATATCCTCTAAAAATTGCATAAACAAGATTAATAGATCTTAGATCTTGGCTGTATGATTACATATTGTCTTATATTGACCACCTGCCACTTTAAAGTCAATTAATTGAATATTTTTTTTAACTTGTCAGCTTGCTTTAGCTTGTCATGAGATTGCGAGGTCAACCTTCAGTGTTTTTGTATGTATCATTTCATAATGCCTTGACATATTGGTGGATGCATATGATTATACATGCTTTAGTGCTGTTTTGAGTGTATTAAACATTTTTTATTAATAAAACTTCTTTCTTGTGCTGACATTTTTAAGAGTGTGTGCATGTTCAAAAACTACATGCATTTGCAAATTTGTGAACTCATTTTCTGCGCTGCACACTGTGTTTTGTCTTCACGGTCATGTTGGCATGTCTGTGTTTTGATGTCACGATCATTGACGAGGGCGATGGGGACGATGCACTTTTTGACAGACAAAACATTGCTTGCTATTGTTTGGTATTGTTAGCAATCCTTTTTTAGACTATTTGTAAACTTTGTCATTTGTGTTGTGATTGATATTTTGGCTGGTATGAGTTACTTGAGATTTACTTGAGCCCACATTAAACGTTTACCTTCTCTTTGATGTCTCAGATGACTCTGCTGAAGGAATCCTCGAGCGCAGCATGACCACTGGATGCACTCCCATCCCCAAAATCGCCATTCAGGAGGACAAAGAGGACTTCATTCGAAAGGAGTTAGGTAAGGCCTCAAAAACAAGGGAAGTCTTTTGACTCTTTTCTTTATGATATTCATTTAGTGTCATATTATCTTGATCATGATATATGTGGCCTAGTGGTTGGCACATTATGCTTATCTGGGCAACATGAGTTTGAATCTGACTTGGCATTTCCTGATCTTATTCCCCTTGCTTATATTGTCATTAACAGTTATCTCTCAATAAAAATCTCAAAAAGGGCAAAATAATAATGAAAAAATATATAAAGCAATAATAGAAATTAAAAAATAGTAATAGCTACAAGCAGCAATTAAGGGGATAAGCACAACGAGCTAAGCATGGCAGGGAGCATCAGAACAACTGCAGCAATAAATAATTAAAGACATTTTAAGATAATTTTAGTCAAAATGGCTGAAAATCATAAATACAATCACAGGTAATATGATTGAATGGTTTATCACTTTTGACCAGGTGGTGCTGTGGTCAGTGTAATGTGACAATTACAGTCTAGGAGGAGTTTGAAAAAGTAGGTTATCAAAGAAAATCAAAATGGACAATTATGGCATAATTGGTATGTGATCTCAGCATGATCCAAAGAATCTATTAAAGGGGTCATATGATGCGATTTCAAGTTTCCCTTTCTCTTTAGAGTGTTACAAGCTGATTGTGCATAGATAAGATCCCTGAAGTTGCAAAGACTAAAGTCTCAAAACCAAAGAGATATTCTTTATCAAAGTTAAGACTCTGCCACGCCCCCCTAAAACGGCTCGTTCTAACACGCCCCCACATATCTACCTCACTATGTGGAAATATTTGCATAATGCGGCCCAAATGTGCACGCAAAGAAAGAAGGCGTGGTTTCAGTAACCGCAGTTAGTGTTGAAGCAGCCATGTCAGGGAGACGCTGTGTGTTTCTAGGCGAAAGCAAAAGCACTTTATTTGGCCTTCCGAAAGTAGATGCATTTAGGAATCTTTAAGATTACTTACAACAGAACAGCAATGCATTTTATGGACGACCGTTTCGTGAACCTAGAAGAGGAGGTAATTCTGACTTTGCTATGACAATCTGGCGCTTCTGAATCAGCTACTGTTTTGTTATTCAAATTGTCCAAATACACAAAATAATGATCTTTAAAAAAGCATCATATGACCCCTTTAAGACCAGTCTAATGACAATAGGCAAAACTAATCAAAAGATATTAGCATTTTTTGAAATTTCAAACTTTTCAAGTATCTTCAGGGCATATCAGTGGAAAATTGGGTATTGTTCGATTCAGTATGCTACTCCGAATCTTAAAACACAAGCCTTGGGTTTTTTGGCCAAACTGTTCAGAAGGTATAAGCAAAAATAACCATTTTTCATATCTCCTGACCATTAGGTGGCACTGTGCCGAAATTGTGCATTTACTCTCAGTTCTTGGCTGTCATAACACAAACCAAGTTTGGTCTGAATATGCTAAAGCATTACGGATATATAGCCTCACTTCTGTTTTGGCGTGATCTTCGTCAAATTTGTGCATTTGAGAACATTTGACTAATCAATTTGAATTCCATGTTTTTGTCATGTTTTTCTGAAGATGATGAAGTTATTAGCATAAATACGAGTGCAACTTTGGACAGTTGGTGGTGGGAGAGGGATTGAGTTGAGAGATTCCAAAATTGCTGTTTAATATCCAGGCTGCCTTCCATCTATGTGCCAAATTTCACAGCTTTTTTTACAACATGGTTCTGTGGGCTGCCATAGACTTGCGGGGAAGAATAAGAAAAACTCTTAACGATTACAGTAGGTGCCTAAGCACCTTTGGTGCTTGGCCCCTAATAATAATAATGTTGTTGTTCTTGTTGTTGCAGTTACTCTCTCTACGTAATATATAATTTTAAGTCATGATATTATTATACTACTGAATGTAATATTTTTAGGATCATCGTTAGTTCGATTTATCCATGACACATTCTTGCTACCAACCTATTTTTGTCCCAAAATTGAAAGCAGGTACTTTTGGTGTATTTTACATATGGGTATGTGATAATTCAGTACAGCACAGAACCATCATTCATCGTTCCAACTGAACACTTTTTGAGAAAGAAAGGACATACCATATTTATTGTATCTAAAGCAGCAGTTATTTTAAATACTAAACAGTTTAGATCCAAAAACAACTCATTTTCTGGAGGACATGGTGAAGAATCTAATTAGTTTACAAGGACTTTTTGGGATGTAAAATGTTGAATCTCATCAGCTTAATAAGTTGCTCAGATGGGAGGCTGTTATTGCTCCTCCAAAATCATTAATTGCAGTTCTTGCACAATACATTTATACATTTAACCAAAAACATGAATGTAATGAACGTAATATAATTCTATATTCTATTTCTTAAATTTCCTTTTTCCTTCCTCCAGCCTTTGACACTCCCAAGCAGACTCCAGTGCAGGATTCCGGCTTTGCCAAGACCTCTCCAAGTGTTTCCCCCCAACCCAGCAGCACCGCTCCATTATCCAGCACAGACGACAGCCTGCTAGACTTGTGGGACAGTGGCCCAGCACCAGCTACGGCCGCCTCCCGGGCCCCCAGCCACATTATGGACCTGATGGAGGACACCCCGGAGCCTCATCTTGCCAGCTCCTCCCCTGCTCTCCCGCAGCCGCTCCTGAGCTTCGATGAGGTGCCTGACACCCCCTACTGCACCGGCACAGAGGACGACCCCTCTAGCCTGGTGGATGTGGCCGGACCCCACCAGATGACCCTGAGTTACCAGCAGGCCCTGCAGCATGCTTCCGGCTCTGACAGCCAGGATCTGGATGACGGACAGCTATTGTTGACCAATGGAGATACGCTTCTTAAAGAAGGGACCCAGGTCAGCAGAACTTACTGTTAAAATGAACAATGCAATGTTGCCTTGCCTCTCATTGTCCTGCATGCTTTATTTACTTATGTTATTTATTTTGCCACTAGATGGCAGCATATGCTCTCTATTTTTTTGACACATGACAAAACACTAGCTATATTCAAGATGCATGAAGCTTTATGTTTACATATATATTTGTGTTTATGCAGGCGAGTGAAGGCTACTTCAGCCAATCACAGGAGGAGGATTTTGCCCAGTCAGATGACTGCACTGCAAAAGTCAACCCAACACCAGTTTTTTATAACAAACCACCAGGTGAGATCACAGCAGGTTGAAGCACATGAAATGATTTAATGAACGCAATTCTTGATGTACTAAAATAACTAACACTTAAATAAAAATGAATAAAAGCTATATAGACAAAAAACAAAAATAAAATCAATAAACCAAAATGACAATAAACAACAAAATTACTAAAATGATTTTTTTATTTTTTTATATGAAAACAGAAAAATAAATCTGATTCAAACACAATTCTTGTTCCTGTTTTGATGCATATGATACAAAAACATTAAGTTTGGGTGAGACAAGTGTTCTTTCATTTTTTGAGTAGCTAATAATTTTTAGTTCACAATTTACATTCTATTGATAATCAAAATTATTAATAGGGTGGTAACTTATCATTTTAGACAATTTTATAGAGCAAATGTTAGTGTTATTTGATAGAGATACTACTGTTTTATAGTTTTGTATTAATATTTTGTATTATTTTTAGATTTTCTATTTTAATTTTAGTTTTAGTAATTTATTTGTGTGTTTGAAATAAAAATGAATAAAAACTATATAGACAAAAACAAATAAAAATGACAGTTTTAGATTTAGTACCTCGCGTAAAACTGAATGAAAATGAAGAACAACAAAATGACTAAAACTTGAACAAATTCAAATGGAAAACAGAAAATAAAAACTAATTCAAACTATTATTGAAAACCATAATAGTATCGCAGTGATACTAAAATGATACTGATTGACAGCCTCAGAAAAGAGTGGCCGGGATATTCTTCAAAAATTCACCACAAAAGAAAAAAAATCATACGTTTTTTGAAATAGCAGAAGGGTGAATAATGACAAAAAATTTCGTCTGCTTAAGCTTTTCCTTTCTTGCAGGTATATGTCCTCATAATCTTAAACAAAAAAACATAAACAAGAAGAACAAAGAAAATAATTTCTTCTTGTTACATCACTCCCTTGCCTCAGAAAAGATCCTAATATAACATGTTTGTCTTATTGTCTGCCACAGAAATCGACATTACGTGCTGGGATACAGACCCTGTGATGGAAGATGATGATGAATAGGAGCAACTGAGGGAAAAACAGGCGACACCTCTATGAAAACTTATTTTGCAACAGTTACAGAAGTCTTGCATTAAAATGTTTTAGATAAAAAAAAACAACAACAAAAACAATGTTAGCCACAGAAGAAAAGGACTCGGGTTATTGTTAAAGATGCCAGTGGGTATGAGCGCTCTTGGTTCATGTATGTGTGCATGAGTGCGTTTATTATTTATTTTGATCTTTTTTTTTTTCTATGCAGAGTATAGCACAGTGTGTCTCTAGCGTTCACCTGTGTTGTATCGATCCCTGTGCCTAACAGGTGTGTGTAGTAGCAGATTAGACCGGTCTGTTTCTCCTTTATCAACACTGATCTTAGGTCTGCTCAGTGGTTCAAGTTCCCTACAATCTTAATTGCTTAGTTGAATCACACGTGTTTGAGTGTTATGCCCACAGGGGCGTTTGCTTTGATGACTCAATCGGTCAGAGACGGTCGAACCCTCACCTTCACAGAAGCAAAGGCATGTCAGAACTTGATTTTAGCTCCAGTTGAGTCATTCGTATTTAGCAAACGGAAAATAAAAGGGGTTTATATGTGATTACGAAACAATTTTGTGTTGTGCCAATTATTTTGAGTATGACGGCCTTTTAGGACTTTAGCGCCAGGTGGCATATGTATATTTTGACTACATATGAGACAGTGTATATAAACAATGGATGAAACTGACATTTTTGTTGTAAAAACTCCAATAGAGCTTTGATTCGTTGAGAAATTTAGGCAATAACAGTTGTAGTGGACTCCATTGGGAATTGTTTTAGTTATATATTCGTTAGTGAGTGTGTGTATTATTATTGGAAAGGCTCAGGCCTGAAACATACTCTACGTAAGTATGCAAATGGTGACGCAAATACAAATGTGTAGTCCCGCTGTACATATTAGCATGCAACCTTACTGTGGTGTTCAAAGACCAGTAGTTAAAAATGAACATTTTGTCATTCTGTTTTTCGCAGAATAAAGTGAGTCATGCAGTTTTTGGAATGATATGAGGGTGAATAAATGATGACAGAATTTTCATTTTTGGGTGAAGTAACCCTTTAAGAAGACAAAATAATTACCTTCAAATCGCTGTTATTCAAATATCTCACTATAAACATGTAAGCAGTTATCTAACTTGCTACCAAGATTCAAACTGTCACTCCACTATGACAGTAGTCAGTGGTTGTTGTTTTTTTCTTACAAAAGTCGGTTAATGCTAATGCTAGCTATAGCACCCCATGTGGCAGTGCTGAGAATGCAGTGCTTAGCGTTTTGTTATGAACTGCATTTTTTAACACATTCTAGTAAAACTGCGATGAGTGAAATCACAGCATTTGCGTTCATGTACTTGCGTAGAGTATGGTTTCGACCTTAATTTTTTTGTGGATGTGATTTTGAACCTTTTAAATTAGTTTTATACTCCCAAGGGAAGGAAATTCTTTCTAATCGCAGATTTCAAGCCACGTCAGTAACCCCTATTATTGAAATAAAATATTATTATGACCCTTATAATCTTTTTTTAAGTTGTTGCTAGTTAAAAAATGCTTAACCCAAGACTTTCTTCAGAGTAATGTGACCTTAGCATGTCCAGCAACTCGTAAAGACCTAAAATTGTTACAAATCTTTAAATGACATTTGGATTTGTAACTGACTTTTAGACAAAGAGAAATGCAGGGACACATCGCCTTGCTCGAGGGCAGAATGGTGAGAGATTATCTCACTTAGTCAACACTGACTCAACCTGTAATCTTTGTTGTTCTGCAACTGCTAAGTTATCACCACCCACTGTCCCAGCCTTGACTGACCACTGTCTTCCTCATACTTCTAGTCATATTGTAAAACACCTTCATAACATCTTGGTTTTACAATGGATTTTTTGAGTGGAAAAGCAAGCAATAAGACTAAACCAATTAGTATTGTTCTGTAAATAGCTCAAATTTTGTGCTCATGTAAAATGTACTACAATCACTAACATGTATTGATTCACCTCCAATGAAAAACGGGGGTTGGCGTACGTTTGGATTGGGGTTTTTTTATGTTTCTTCGGTGAGAGAGAAAAAAGGTTGCTCAGTATGAAACCTAATAGGAAGTAACCCGCATCTTTAACAGTAACTTAGCCCCTTTTGAAATGACTTCCATGTATTCCCATTCACCGTCCTACCTCCTTAGTAGTGATTATTATTCTCTTTCTCCCTCAAACTACTAGGAGACTACTACTACTACTACCACTACTATTACTATTACTGCTACTGTTCTACTACAGTAATTTCTTCTTTGCCCCTGAAGCAAGGCTTAGCGACTCCTGAAAGTTCTTTTTTAATTATTTTTTTCTATCTCTTCCTTTTCCGTCCGCTTCTCACATGCTGTTTTTGAAACAAGCACAAGATCTTTTGTGACATGCTATGTGCTTGTGTATGTTAATAAAAGACTTTAAAATCCTTCAGAAAACGTGTTTACTTTTACGTTTTTCCACCTGCGACAAAACGGACACACAGAAATGCTAAAACACTGTCTTAACTTTAGACTTTGTACCTCAGTTTTATTGATCAGATATCAGGCATTCACTGGCCCTGTTTGTGTGTATATTGTGTATATTTTTAGAAAACAAAAAATCCTCATATGAGCATGAAAATATATAGCAGCGATGAATTAGTACACATACACAAGCACACACTTTGCATGCTACATGAACACTGCACGAAACACTTTCAGTTTGCCGTTCACAGAGAAACAAAATGTGCTTTGGAGAATTTGGAGTGTAAATTTGGTGTCAAATGGGAATACAATTTTGTCTAAATTGAGAATCTTACCAGATCAAAAGAAATTTCTGCACAAAACCCCTTTTGATTGATAGATCACAAACGGGGTACATTTGGTACATAATATGTCTCGTATATGCTAATTTGCAAACCACAATCCACCATATTGGATGTGAGAAGGCTGTGTACCAGAGCAGTGACGGTACTGCTCGCTTCATCTGTGCAAACAGATTCACACAGCTCTTCTATGGTCGCTTAGCAACACATTGCTGGCAGAGAAAAGACCGTTTACATCTCTGTCTTTAGCTTCTGTTGTGATGTAACTGAAAATTTAAAAACAGAGAGTAAAAGCAGATACAATCATTTTAAACAACTATACTCTCCCAAAACAATCAATCCTTTCCTATAGATTAATTTTACAGTGTAAGTATTTTGGGGCTGTGTTTTTGAAATGACAGTTAGGTGCAGTAAATTTAATTGATTGTCTCAACAATTCTATATTTTGGTCTGTGCAAAAAAATGAATATTTCACATGAATTTATCAATATTTGGCCATTTAAGATTAGTTCTTAGTACTTAGATTAGTTTTTTTTTTTTTACAGGACATTACAGGGCATTATTTTTATTTCAAAGAGAGTATGTTGTACTCAAGGCAATCTTTCCTTATCAACTTTTTCAGAATTAATTTTTCCAACCTTTATTCTGTCATTTATGTGATAAGAAGTACTTGTTTCAATTTCCAACATTCAACATGGACACACCATTTCAACTTTGTAGGGATGAAATTGGAAAAATAATATATTCTTCATATAATTGCATTATGTAATTTAGTCAGCACAGGTTATAATGAAGCAGGGAACATATACTTGGGTTGTGGGAAGCATGATTCCTTTATGCTTTTGTTATTTTTGGGCGGTCTAGTGATGGCTGCGCAATTAAAAATAATGAACCAAAGACATCTACAGGGCATTATTTTTATTTCAAAGAGAGTATGTTGTACTCAAGGCAATCTTTCCTTATCAACTTTTTCAGAATTAATTTTTCCAACCTTTATTCTGTCATTTATGTGATAAGAAGTACTTGTTTCAATTTCCAACATTCAACATGGACACACCATTTCAACTTTGTAGGGATGAAATTGGAAAAATAATATATTCTTCATATAATTGCATTATGTAATTTAGTCAGCACAGGTTATAATGAAGCAGGGAACATATACTTGGGTTGTGGGAAGCATGATTCCTTTATGCTTTTGTTATTTTTGGGCGGTCTAGTGATGGCTGCGCAATTAAAAATAATGAACCAAAGACATCACTATGATGTAGTAAAAGCATTGTGCTGAATGTGTGCCCACATACACTGCTAACTGCTTGTTCACATTTCCAAAATGGAGCTTATTTTAATCAAATACCATTTGAAAGCATCCAGCGCATGCATGAAAGCGGAGTTATATGCCCGGGAAGCTGACAAAGACAGCCATTGGATGGATTGAGGTAGAATCGTTTTAAGGGCATGGAGACACAAAATAGAAATGATGGCAATAAAAGGAAAAAAAATGAAATCGAGCATGTAGCAATCACTACATTGATGGCAAAAAACAGCGTAGCAAAAGGAATTCAGTTGGTCTCACTTGAAGAAGCACCAGTATATAAATGAGTTTTGTTAAATAAATGCCAAACATCCCACATGGCTGCAACAGCAGGGAGTAACGTGGGCAACATGGTGATGCATGAAAATGTTGACAAATCCAATTCACAGGTCATTACAAACAAGGTCCTATCATCAATCTGATGAGCACTTCAGGATGATGTATTTCATATAAAAAAAATCATTTTTCATAGAGATTCAGAATCTGTAAAAAATAGAATAGTGCTATTGACATGAAATAAAAGGCAGTTCCTCAATGTACCCGCATGGTCTAATGCATTAAGCTGGGAGAGACAACTTCCAATGGACACTACAGACGTTTCAAAAATCACAATCCTTCAGGCAACTTCCTTTTCAGGATTTGTGATTACTTTGAATATTTTCCACCCCCAAAGTTCAGACTCCTTCCCGAAAAAGAACTGGCAGAAAATCCAGAAAGAGATGCCAGGTATTGTTTCCCAGTTTATGAAACAACATTTTTGCGCAGCTGAGCAGCATTGTGTAGCTACAGTACGAACCAACCACTGTCATTTCACCATGTCGCACCCTGTTTCACAAAGACAGGGTTTGAAATGTCATTTGTATTATTATCGGTGAGCCGCAGATGAGAAAGGAAGAAGAGAGGATGTGAGGGGCGAGGTGTTGGTGGGCTGCAGACAGCTCCCGGGAGCCATGGCAACAGCATCCACATAATAGCTGCTGCTCTGCATCAGGCAGAGATGCCACGGAGAGCAAGGAGGAGGACGAGAGAAAAACGAGTATGATGGATCTGCAAATGAACCCCTGAACAAAGCTGAATCATCCTGACCCGATTCTGCCCCCAAAATACAGCATTCGAAATGCCTCTGGCAGACTCTCCAGATCGCATATGACTCAGCATTGTGAGTGTTCATCTCAGAAAGTGGTCTGTAGGTCTATTTTTGTGGACTCATACTGCTGTACTTCGACCCAAAAGGGGAAAGGCTGTGGGCAAACCATAGTGTTGATCCAGACTGCGGAGTCCTCGCAAGCCCATGTCTGTGTGAGTCCGGCCCTCACGAGGCATGGTCGCGATGGCAGAGGCCTGAGGTTCAACCGGCAGGTTGTTGTGGTTAAGGTCCATGGTGGACAGGAGGTGCCCCAGTGAGTCCCAGCGTCTGGCCGAAGGGAGGCGTATTAGGGAGGAGTAGTCACGTTCGGGAAACACGGTCACAGGGGCCATCTTGCTGGTCTCAGACTCCTGATGCTCCCTAGAGGACCTGGATGCAGGTTTGGTGTAAGTTCCTCCTCTGGGATCCGCCAGAACCTCACTGTAAGGGGGCGGTGGGTCCTCCATCAATACGGCCTCTTCGTAGCAAGGAGGTTTTCCAAAGACATCTGTGTCTGCTGAGAAAAAACAAACAATTCACCAAAGAACAGGAAGTACAACAGATACTGAAAGCTGCACCAATCATGCGAAGTTTTAGTGGCAAAATCCTTCTCATTAACATTATAAAAACTCTTGCCTCATGGCCCCAAGATATTGTAGACCTTACTTTTTCCTAGTCAGACCAGACATCATTAAACATATGCAATCGCACAACTTATCAGATAAAAAAAAAACTGCATGAATTTATCAGAGGACATTAGACAACATAAATGAGGACCCTGTATATTTTATCAGGGGAGGGTAGAAGAACTAAAGCTTTTATCATGTCCTCCAAGGTCACTTCTCACTCCTAGATGAAAGCTAGAATAGATTTTCTCCTGTGGAGGGAAGTGATAAACCAGCATATTGAGGTCAGAGATAAGAACGTGTTTGGCTGTTCCCCCCCCCCACCCACAAAAAAATCCTTTGAGTCCTAGAGGCTAGCAGTGCCATGTGGAAGCACTTAGCTTACTTTAAGCTCTTCTTAATTATCATGTGCATCATAGGATTGCAACAAATGGAGGCGGTGCTTCTTAAACTCTCACTGCAAACCCAACTTGTTGAGAAAACCAAATTTTGACATTTTCTGAAGATAATGTG